ACATACCCACCTACCTTTCTACCTACCTAATACCTACCAACCTACCTACCTACCACCTACCTACCTACCGACCTACCTACCTACCTACCTACCTACCTACCTACCTACCCACCCTCCTACCCACCCACCAACTACCTACCTACTACCTACCTACTACCAACCTACCTACCTACCTACCACCTTACCTACCTATCTACTTACCCACCTACCTACTACCTACCTACCTACCTACCCACCTACCCACCTACCTACCCACCTTCCTACCTACCCACCTACCTACCTACCCACCTACCTACCCACCTACCTACCTACCTACCTACCTACCTACCTACCTACCTACCTACCTACCTACCTACACTACCTACCTACCTACCCCCTTACCTACCTACCTACCCACCTACCAACCTTCCCACCTACCTACCCACCCTCCTACCTACCAACCTACTACCTACCTACCTACCTACCTACCTACCTACCTACCCACCCACCCACCCACCTACCTACCCACCTACCTACCTACCTACCAACCTACCTACCTACCTGCTACCTACCCAACCACCGACCCACCCACCTACCTCCCTACCTACCTACCCAACCACCCACCCACCCACTTACACTACCTACCTACCTACCTCCCTACCTACCTACCCACCTACCCACCTACCTACCAACCCACCTACCTACCTACCCCCTTACCTACCTATCTACTTACCCACCTACCTACTACCTACCTACCTACCTATCCACCTACCCAGCTTCCCACCAACCTACCCACCTTCCTACCTACCCACCTATTACCTACCTACCTACTACCTACCTACTACCCACCTACCTACCTACCTACCTACCTACTACCTACCCAACCACTGACCCACCCACCTACCTCCCTACCTACTACCTACATACCTACCTACCTACTACCTACCTTTCTACCTACCTACTACCTATCCAACCACCCACCCACACATCTACCTCCCTCCCTGCCTACCTGCCAGCATACCTACCCACCTACTTACTACCTACCTACCTACTTACTACCTACCTACCTACTTACCCACCTACCTACTACCTACCTACCTACCTACCTACCTACCTACCTACACTACCTACCTACCTAGCCACCTACACACCTACCTACCCAACCATCTACCTACCCACCTACTACCTACCTACTTCCCATCTACCTATCTACTACCTATCTACTACCTACCTACCTACCTACCTACCTACGTATTACCTACATACCTGCAAAATTGACCTATAAAATTAGTGAATATAGAATTTGAACTTGCAGCATTTTGTTAAGCGGGTTTAAGCGCTGTTTTTTATGTTTTGTTTTCGTTTCACATAACGAAAATTATATCTTAATGTAAATACAATCATATGGTTGTGTATAATCGATCTGGAAACATTTAATAGTCTAGATATATCGACATGTGTTATTGTTATCATTGAAAACAATAGACATTACAATTTTAGAAATAGAGCGATATAGTCGACTGTGCTACTCTGATGACTGACACCTTTATAACACATGTCAGCTCTATGTATATGTACTATAATATAACCTGTTAAGGAATACTATCGTAAAGAAATTTTTGACGGTGAACGGGAGACAACTTTTCCTAAAGTTTGCCTGGGAATATCTGTTTCACGTGACATATTACATTTAACACACAATTCTTGTCCATTACCATTAAACGCCGTATGACCGATGTGATCCTGTGTTGATCATCCGTTGATTAAGCGGTTATATGTCGTGTGTATTGTTAACATACGTACTAACAGTTCCATTTATTATTTGCCAAATTTTATCTGTAATATTCCAAACTTTAGATTAATAATTTTATCACCCCATGTGACCATTTTGTTAAGAATTTCTATCTGATGGTATCAGACTACCCAATTTTTGAAGGAAACATACAAATGAATTGAGGAAATTTTTTTCAGATCCATCGAAGGATTTCTTTGCCAATTAAGAACATCGCCTATGTACCTATGATATTTTCAAATGTGGGCTAAGTGGGAATAAACCGCCTCCTCCACATCAGAGGTACACTTTTATATCTTTTTTTCTAAAATCTGAACACATTGCACAAATATAGATCTGAATAGTTTAAGTAAGTCACAATCAAGATATCGATCGGTTATTCTACTTCATGCTTGAGTTTCACATTTGAAAATGGGTAATTCTTTTTTGTGGCATAGAATAGCGATCGGTACCTTTTATTGTAAGGTCTACGGAAGATGTTTGATGACGTCATTTATCACTTTTTATTTTGGTGTAAACTCTTCATCGATTTCATAGCTCTCTATTTTCGTTAATTTATCAGTTTAATATTATGTTTTATTGTTTGCGAATTTTTAATTTTCAATGATTTTGTAAATGTTAATCCTACATAAAATGGAAGTCCAATCCTGGTCCGAGACTTGGCAAGCTTTCCATATTTCATTTAAATGTTCGGAGTGTTAGACACAAATTAGACTACATTGAAGACATGGTAAATAAATATGACGTTGTGTGTTAAACCGAAACTCAATTAGACGATCAAGTTACTACCAATGCTTTATGTATTGAAGGTTTTCATTCTCCTTTTAGACTTGATAGAAATTTTGCCGGGGATGGTATTTTGGTTAATATAAAGTTGATCGTTTTCCTGAATTAGAATATCCTGGTGATGAGGTAATATGGACCAAAATTAGCCTTCCTCACTCTTTTTACATCATTGGAATGGCTTATAGACCAAAAAACTCTCTTATCGTTTTGGGAAACTTTCAGGTTGTCTGTAAATAATGCTCTCGATATATCACCTAATGTTATAGTAACTAGTGATTTAAATGTTGACTTCCTCACTGCTTCAAATAATCATGTGCTGTTTGATATCATTAACTCCTTGTCACTAACTAATGTTATAAAGTATTCTACTTGTACTGGGCGTACTAGATCTAGCTTACTAGATCCTACACTATTATCGGATTCTAATTCCTGTATTGACTCTTCTGTAATTTCTATTGATAGATCGGTTAGTGACCATGATGGTTGTACAGCTTCAGTTAATATTCCTTGTCTTTTTAAACGGAACCATAAACGTAAAATTTGGCAGTACAAGAGGGCAAGTTTTGCAAAAATTCAATGAACTTTTATCTAATTATAAGTGGATAGACTTTTTGTTACAATTGTGACTCGGTTAATTATGGATGTGATCGTTTTAAGGACACACTTCTGTCCTTTGCTAATGAATGTATTCCCTGCAAAGAAGTAAATAAACACCCTAATGGCAAGCCATAGATGACCTCTGAACTTAGTAAAAACTTAAGAATTATGGAAAGGCTTCATAAAATAGCGAGGTCAACCAAACGTTTGATAGATATTGATAGATTTAAATCATAGCAAAACAAAGTTAATACCATGACAAATCATGCACGTATTACTTTTTATGAAAATGTCTTTGATATCATTGACGGATACTCGTCTTCGGATCCTAAAACTTAGGCTTAGAATTTGAGGGGAAAGTTTTAAATTTTACAGACTATCATAAACATTTAGTTGCTTCTTCTCTACCTTCTACTCTTTGTTGTTGGAATAACTTAGAAAATTCGGTTCTATCCCAACTCACTATTAATTCATTCAAATCTTGTTTAACATCAAGTAATCGGTCAAATCCACCAATTTACTATAAAATTGGAAATCGCAAACTTAATACATTGCATACTAAGCTCCGACACCATTGCAGTTCTCTTAATTATGACTTTTTTAGAGTTATCCTCGTTGAGAATACATCTTGTGAATGTGGTCATCCTTGTGAGAATGTCTTTCACTACTTTATTGAATGTCAACGTTTCAGGAACGTATTCTCGTTCAAAATTTAAATAATTGAAACGTTAGGTTAGATATAGAAATTCTTTTGTTTAGCAATTCTCAATTTTCCATAGACCTTAATGCAAACATTTTTAGATCTGTGCAAAACTATATTAAATCCAGCAAGAGATTTTAATGCCAAGGTGTAACAATAATTGTATATTTGTATTGTCATGATTGTAATGTCATTTAAAATGTATATAGGGAGAAGGCGTTAATAAGTTGCAATAACGTGCCTAATCCTTTGTCTATCTTCTGGCAATGAAAACGTTTAAACTAGTAATACGTGGATAATGACACAAAGTTATCGGTCTACGTTGAAGCTTTTACTGCTGACGGCTAGTTCTACATATCGACCCTATGTACCGTGATACTACAGCGGTAGTGTATTTATATAGCCTTACATGGGTCGATGTCAGTCGTCTTATCACACACCTAATGCTGTTTAATGATAAATACCACCTCCTAAGGTATTATTCAGATAACCGAACAAGGACCACACGAAAGGTAAGTCAACGCTTTAATCAAGTTTTAATTCATACAAAAGGATAGAATCACAGGTATGTAATTAAGTAAAGGTTACAGTTGCCAAGAAAACTAAATGTCATTCTTAACAATAAAGCATTAAGTGACTGATTCTGATCAATTATCAGAACCAATTATTCCACCGTTTTAAACAGTCAGACTATGAATTTCAAGTAACGATATCCTGCATAATTAGTCTAACTTCCCTTCTGAGGAAGACTGCGTGCGCCAAAGCTGATTCCCTTTCATCATCATGTAATATGATAGGCAGTTTACTTTGGACAACAGCATGAATAATTTAACAAGAGGTGAAGCTGTTCTGTAAAATTCAGTTTATTCACATGGAAGGTAGATGGAGGTGGTGGAGTTTTGACAAGCTGACTTCATCTGAAACTTTTGCTGAATCGGAAATTGGCTATATGAACAGGGGAGGCTACTCATATTCGTTCTTGACCAAAAATAGAAGGTCGCGCGCCACCATTGCCCAAACTTCCCTACCACGCACTTATAGACATTGTTTGCCTTAAATAATTTTATAGAGTGTGGATCAAAGATGGGAGATGGTAATTGAATCTGGGAAAAATTTCATGTATGATTAATTTCCTCTAGTGTGAAGATGCCTTCCAATCGGACGAACGTTCTCTATGGTGCTGCAGGGGCTGCTGCTGGAGGGGTTGTCGCGTGGCGTTCTCTGTTTCCATGGATAGGAGACGATTTGACAACCGCCTTAGGAATGAAGAAAGTAGGTGACAGGAAAGACACAGACCTTGCCAACGAGGTTTATTTGATTGACACGTTCGAAGGGTTTGTTAAACAGCATCCTAATAAGGTGTTCCTGTACTTCGAAGAAAGAGAATATACTTATGAATTCGTCAACAACATGGCAAATAAGATTGCAAATATAGTACTTTCTCTCAACCTCTCACCCGGGGATACGGTGGCAACAATGATAGAGAACGAACCCTCCTTTGTTTGGACACTACTTGGTAAGCTCGGCCTGTACAGTGCGGGATTATACAAGACAGAATAAAAAGTACAAAATGAAGAAACTGATGAAACACTTAATGGTCAATTAAACTCCACAAATCTTTTAACACGTATTCTTGATTTCATGATCTGTGAAAGCTTTACTCTATTTTCGGAAAATAGCTTACTTATACATATGCAATTAAGAAATAAAAATGAACTTTGAAATTGGACGTAAGTTTCGAATATTCTATTTCAACAATTTTATTAGCAGACATACGTTCTCTTTTGTCAATTTTCCTCAGTTTTCATCCCTTCCTTTTGCACCAGTATCGTATAATTTTGGAGCTCCTATTTCTATACCGTTATGTCTATACGAACAGGTCTACAGAAAATTGGCTTGGTGGACGCATTCATCAATTACCACCTGACAGCTGAGCCCCTTCTGCACTCCATCCGGGCAAGTAGTGCCAAGGTTGTCATTATCGGCTCAGGTACGGGATTAGAATTCTAGTCCATCGTGTTAAGTCATTGATTTGTACATTGGTCAATATAACATGAACAATCTTTCTATAGGAGTTTTCCAATATTACGGGTATATATTTAAAATTGAGAAATGAATGTGATTGAAACAAAACAAAACAAAATTCATTGATAAAATTAAATCAAAATCAAAACACATTACAATAAGAAAGTAAAAATGAAACGATCGACCACTTTTTTCTCCAAGGAATATTACCTATGTACTGGCAGAGTTCATGCTTTCCGAATACGGTAATTAAAAGACAAAGATAGCAAAGGCAACATGTGTTACATTTTATACTGGTCATGTTTAATTTTAATATATCTTAGGTGAAGGTCTGTTGGAATCTGTTAATGAAATCCGACACAATTTGTCGGAAAACCTACCAATTTACGTCCAAGGACGCTCACAGTCTGAGCTTCCTCCGGGATATCTTTCGTTGGATCACGCCATGGAAAGGACACTTCCACTTCCTGTAAGCAAGCACCTGCGCTCACATGTCACATTGATGTCACCGTTATGCTACATCTACACGTCTGGCACAACAGGTCAATAGAATATAAAAAAATATTAGTAGCTTGATATTATAGATAATGATTATCATAACACTATTACTTGACTTTTATTGGGGTTCCAGTTGACGTAAATAAAAATGATTTATTGATAAAATGACATAAACATTGTTACATTATAGTCTTTTGCTGGATTTACACATACACATACCTTTTAAAAAGCAAAATCAACTTATGAATACCCGTATTACTTTTATTTCATTTTCAATGAATATCAACGGTTTCCTGAGCGAACGTTCTAATATATCAGAGTTACTTCCCTTCGTTTCACTTTATCAATAGATTGTAAAGCAATAAGCTTGATTGTACATGAGGTCAGGGATGCCAGAATGTAACATATTAAAAACATCTGATGAAACTATAATCTGGAATGCTAATGACTCGCATATAAAATCTTCAATAATTTCTTTATTTCGTATGAGATTATAATGTTATCGACTTTTGGTAGTGTTTATTTCTCTGAGCCTTGGCGGGTTCATACAGTTTTCTTAAAATCTCATATAAAACGAAAACAAATTTAAGGTACGTTTTGTATTTCTTAGAAAACAAACTGAAATTTGAACGAGTTTTAAACTCAAAATGTGAAGGGCAAAATCAAACGGAGTAAGTCATTTTGTTGCGCCGTTTTTTTTTTAAATTAACCATATTATGACATTCATTCGATTTCTGAAATATCACAAGTATCAATATCTATATCGAAGAACAACAATTTTATTTTATTCCAGGATTGCCAAAACCAGCTATATTTAACCAAGCTAAGGCGATCTCCGCCTCAAAGATTTGGGCATCGTTTGATTTCAATGACAGCGATGTTTCGTATGCCGTTACACCCCTCTACCATAGCGGGGCAGCTTCGCTATGCCTTATGAACACTATTGCAGTCGGTAGGTATGTCGAGGGTCACATCGAATTTCACTTGTCAACAAAGCACAGGAAATGTATGGAAATCCAATGTTATGAACTTTATAAACTCTATAAAACATGGATTTCATCAAATATCTACGTACAAGGAAAACCTTATAAAACATCAAATATTTGACAATCGACGGATTTATAATGGGTTAACTATTTCATTTTCGGTCTGATTTGATGGAATTCAAATTAACAGGAAACAATAGACTTTTTCAGTATTTAAGGTAAAGGGTATATGGTAATCGCTTTATCCATGTGAGAGTGCGTTGGTGAGTACGGGCGTCTGTAACAACCTTACGTACCAGGTATTTCTAAATCACTATATATTTGATTCATATTCACGCCATAACATTAATGCACCAAGGTCTACAATTGATGAGATTTGGGTGGTCCTTAATTAGTCAAAGGTAAAAAGTTACGTTCAGGATTGGGTCGACGGCATATCTCTGTCAGACCCAACTCGCTTTGTTTTAATTCTGTCAATTAAATAAATTTTGTTTTGTATTGACATACAAGTTTATTTCAACCACACCTCTAACCACGATTTGTTTATAAATTGATGTTTACTTAGGCGCTTCTATGGCCTTACGCCGGAAGTTCTCTGCCCGCCATTACTGGGAAGACTGCCGGAAGTACAAAGTCACCGTTGTGCATTATATTGGAGAGCTCTTTCGGTATATTCTTAAAGTACCGGAGGTATATATCTTTTTATATTTTTAATGATGAAAACTCGATCTACATCACAGGATAAACTTCTTGAGATATCTTGTTTTGCTATTGCTTTCTAGGGGTAGATTGAATTTGGTACGATAAATGAAATTTCGGAATGCCTGATTTTACTCGTGAAGTTATGTTCCGCACTATTCTTTCTCCTTTACAATTTTTATTTCAATGTTTTCTAAATACTAAGTACTAAATATTGGTCATTAGCATCACCGAGAAACATATAAGGACCAAAAAGCTATACATAATGAATTTATTGACCCTTTTAGGTCAGTATTTGACATATCTTGTTTCAATCACCAGATGCGTGTTCAACACCCTTACGAAACATATATATTTTTTTGTTTAAACTATACCAAGAGTTTCCTATCAAACCTTTCACACATTTTGAATCGAACTGCGGTTTTTCTATGTTTATGTGTCTCTTTTACCTGACATTCTACATATATTGCTCGTGTCGAATTTTAGTGTTTCTAACTGCCGATGTTCGTTTCCATTTCTGTCGTCATCTTTAAAAAATTCTTTGCAGTCACCTCTTGATGACGTTCACAACATCCGTGTTGCTATGGGAAATGGTCTTCGATTGGATATATGGAAGAAATTCCAGGACAGATTTAAGATTCCTGTGATCGTTGAACATTTCGGGGCCACTGAGGGGACATCGATAGCAATTAACCTCACCAACAAAGTAGGGGCCGTCGGCAGGCTATCCCCTCTGATGGTAAGGTACTTTTGGTGTCACTTACTTAACTAATTTGCTCTTGCTCTATTTCTAACTACATACTTCCTCGTAGCTAGGTCGAAAGAATTACTACCGCTGTCAACATTGAATGATCATACAATTTAAGAGGAACAAAACTTGTTATATCTACCTTATCTTAAGTGATGCTTTACGTCTATTAATTGACTGAACATACCCAGTAATGTTTTACGGCTATTAATTGACTGAACATCCCCAGTAATTTTCTACGGCTATTAATTGACTGAACATCCCCAGTAATGTTTTACGGCTATTAATTGACTGAACATCTCCAGTAATGTTTTACGGCTATTAATTGACTGAACATCCCCAGTAATGTTTTACGTCTATTAATTGACTGAACATACCCAGTAATGTTTTATGGCTATTAATTGACTGAACATCCCCAGTAATTTTTTACGGCTATTAATTGAGTGAACATCCCCAGTGATGTCATACGGCTATTAATTGAGTGAACATCCCATGTAATGTCATACGGCTATTAACTGAGTGAACATCCCCAGTAATGTTTTACGGCTTTAATTGACTGGTAATGTTTTATTAATTGACTGAACATCCCCAGTAATGTTTTACGGCTATTAATTGACTGAACATCCCCAGTAATGTTTTACGGCTATTAATTGACTGAACATCCCCAGTAATGTTTTACGGCTATTAATTGACTGAACATCCCCAGTAATGTTTTACGGCTATTAATTGAGTGAACATCCCCAGTAATTTTTACGGCTATTAATTGAGTGAACATCCCCAGTGTTGTTATATAGCTATGTAGTCTTCATCATCCATTCCCAATGTTCAGTATAACCACTTTTATTGTTCTGGGACACACTCTGAAAAAAGTGCCGATAACAGCACGTACCTTAAACTGTATTATTCTCGAATTTATACGTATTCAAAACAGTGTTAATTCAAACCTCCTGAGGCCTTCTCTAAACACGGAGATCGCTCTGTAGATAATTTAAGAAGAGTAAAAAAAGACATGTAAATGAAAAACACCTTTAACAAAAGATTTAAATACAATATAAACAAATAATGAATTTAATCACATCAAACAGCTGTTTCGTCCTTCAAGGGTCCATCTATGGTGCTAAGGTCCTAATTTGATGAAACTTCCAATGCGACTGTGGAAAATCCTAACTGGTCGAAATATATGTCATGAACCAGATAGGTTTAATAAAAATTGTTATGATTCGTGAAAGGTCTCGCTCAAGTTACGCATTCTTTGCGAAATTATACAGTTTTGAATCCTTGTTTACATTATGAAATCAGTGGAGCACCCTACTTTGATATATATCACATTTGTATGTATATCATATTACTACTCCTTATTACCATAACTACGTTCTTACAACGTACTAATATCTCAAGTCACAAGATATTAGAATATTGCAGCCAATTTAAATGCTTAGGTCACCAAATTTATAATCAATCAATTTATAACTTTCACTCTGCTCAATTTGACAAAGTACATTTTATTTACGGATCTTATGGCGAAAACCAAATGTCAATATACAGGTCATCAAAAGTCAAAGGTCAAATATACATGTGTACTAATAATGTCGATAAATATGACATTTATCTGACGTCTCATATAAAAGGCTACAGATGATACGAAGAAATTGCTTACTTAATGTCATACGCCAAATCGATCTGAAGTTTTTCATCAAAATTGATACTCTCTCGATTGTTCATATTATATGTAAGGCCGTGCAGGCAAGTCAACTTACAATGTAAATAAAATTACCCATTCTATATCAAATACAACAGGTAAATGGACTGATTTGTCACTAAACAGTGCAGCATTGTCTGGTGTTTAGCATAATAAATATGTCAGGACGAACACCCTTGTCACCACGATACTGATGTCATTTACAGCTGATATGCCTACCATTTAAGATATGCACACATATGCCCCAATCCCACGTAATGCTTCATGTACACTATACACCACGATATGGTATTATGCAGAACAGACTGCGACGAGGTAATACAGTTCTAATGCGCAAAAACAAACTTTAATTATAAAACTTGTTGCAAATAAACTGTGATGAGTAAGAGCTATTGTCACGATTTCTTTATTTTTGATGGTTAAAATGTTTTGGAAATTTATTTTCAGAAGTTTTCCCCGAAGAAAAACTTGGATACAGTGATATTTCACGTCCTTTACAGTCAACGAATATTAACACTATACCAAAATAAGTTTTCTTAAGTAAAGATATATATGTATACTTTTTATATATATTTTATAGCGATTTGCTTCCAAGTACAAACTAAGTGCGCCAATTCGCGTGATACATTATGATAGAGTAAAGGACGAACCAATCAGAGGAAAGAACGGATTCTGTATCGATTGCGGCGCAGGTTTGTTACATTCACGATAGCAAGTCGTTAATATTTTGGGTAATTCTTGCTGTTACTAGTCAATTCCATGCACTGTACATGATAGATAGGTAATTATAAAAGCATGCATTTAAAAATTAAAAATGTGAAATCAAAATTGTACAAACACATCATTCCTTCATGTTGTTTACTATTAGAAATATTAATGGTGTTAAATATAAAGATATTATTTGAAAAAAATGATGAATTTAAATGAAAGATTGAGAAACGCTATAGTAAATGGGTAATTAGAAAGCTCCAGATCGACATTTCGTTCGTGCTAGATAAACGTTATGTAAAGAGGGAGAATGATTGATGTTGACGATTTTGAAGTAAATAGGCAGTGAATAGTATCGTCGGCAATGTATAATATCTACAATGCTTTCTGATGATGATAAATTAAACGACACATATGTATATATCACATCCTTTTTTCATGACAGTAAATTACGTCTTCGTATGAGGAAACTGTGAGAAATTCTGTGGAGTAAGGGTTAATTAAAACAATTTAATGTATTCAATACAAAGTCAAACATCAAATAAAATATATATTTCAATAGTATAAGTACGTATGTACTAACGGTACCGATAATAGTGATATCACTTCTCCATTATCGTGAGGACATAATCTGTTGCTTTATAATTCAATGACCAGGCCAAAAAACCTATAAGTCCTAAGACTTTTGGTGAAAAGAAAGAAAGAAAAAATCCACCATATGACATATTACTCTACCTACAAATGTACGTGAAGTGTTTAGACAAGGGTGTCGCAGAATTATTTTCTGATGATTTACAATTAATAAGATTGTCCTAAACATTTTGAAATGTGTTCCAAGCTTAGATAAACTGCTTTCTACAGGTGAGGAAGGTCTGATCATTTCTGAGGTACCCGAAACTACGACACAGTTCTATGTGGGATCCAAGGCTATGAATGAGAAGAAGTTCTTGAGAGATGTTTTCGTCAAAGGAGATGCTTACTTTAACTATGGTGATATCCTCTTCGTTGACAAAGACTATTATTTGTACTTCCGGGACAGGCTCGGGGACACATTCCGGTAAGTGACGAATTTTATAAGTAGAAATCCAGAAGTCTTTGTTAAAATTCATTTATGCTGAAAATTTCTATTCAACGGATGCAAAACAACGTTGAGTATGGTTTTTAATTTGAAAATACCATACACATTTTTTGCTCTGTCGCCTCCTAGGTTTCAAAGCTGATTCTTTCAGCTCGACTAAGGAGTCCTAGAAGAACGAAACGGCTGTATGATTTAGCATCAATGACGAGTCCTAGAAGGACGAAACGTCTGTATGATGTAGCATCAGTGACAAGTCCTAGAAGGACGAAACGACTCTATGATGTAGCATCAGTGACAAGTCCTAGAAGGACGAAACGACTCTATGATGTAGCATCAATGACGAGTCCTAGAAGGACGAAACGACTCTATGATGCAATTACTTTAATATTATGCATCTAATTCTAATTGTTTTGAAAGGTGCCATCCACGTATGTATCTTTTGTATAATCTTATATTTTCAATACGCAGTAAAGATTTTGAGGTTGTTTGGATACCCATATCAACCATTATTTTCAAATGCCATAGAATGTTCGTATTTAGATCGTTTCACATCACTCGCATTACAGTTGGAAAAGTGAAAACGTGTCCACACGAGAGGTTGCCGAGGTGTTGAGCACTCTAAAATTTATTCAGGATGTCAACGTGTACGGTGTAGAAGTACCAGGTAAGTTTAAAAAATACCTTTCATATCTTTTGTATATGTTTTACTTTTAAAAAGATATATTTAAGAAATGCCTGTACATACCCTTATACCGTTCTCAACAATAAACAGTGATATGAATTTATTTGCCTGTTTGGTAGTCTGTTTGCTGGTAGATATAGTGATTAGGAACCTGTTTACTTGTAGATAATGACGGAAAAGCTGGTATGGCTGCCATTCTATTAAAAGATGGCACATCGATTACACCTGAGGTTCTGCAACAAATCTACAAAAAGTGCGCAAAATCACTTCCAAGCTATGCCAGGCCAATATTTCTACGGTTCCAAGCGGATTTTAATGTTACACAAACAATGAAACACAAGAAATCGGACCTTGTAAAAGAGGGTTATAATCCAGATATCGTTTCTGACCCTCTCTTCTGTGTGGATGTAAAAAACAAAACATATTCTCCTTTAGATTCTTCATCCTTTCACCAAGTCATCAAGTCGAGACTGTAAAGGGCTATTGTTTTTGGATTATATCCGCAAATCACCACATAAAGCAATGATTGCGAGTGATTGTGAGTGTGATCTTTCAACATTGATTATAAACAGATACTGAACGAATGGTAGTGACAGTTGTATATTCGTGATTCTAGAGATGTTTATCAATTCTCGAATGTATTAATTGGAAAATATGTTTTGAATATACGAATACAGCAAAAAGAAATAACAAAACAAAACATACCTTGTAATCAGGCATTAAAACGATCAATCTTGATTGAAAATCACTTTCAATTCATCATGTGCATTAAGAAAGATCACTCTTGTAACCACATCTGTTAACATTGGTTTCATCTATGCCATGAAACTCAAGCAAGAACGACAACTCGTGAGCTCTTAAAGTGTTTCATGGGCAAAGATTGCTAGAACCAGATTTCAATGAACACCACATATTCGTTAATTTGAATACATGAAACATTATTGACAACATTCATAAGTTTTCATTACGGAAAAAAAATATGACATTCAATGAAGGTGACAGAACAGTTGCCGTTTAGACTTCCCTATACGCGCCGTTCTTCAGTCACTATTGTTATACAGTAACTTTATTAAAGAAAAATAGTTTTAGGCAAAAAGTTAGAAAAAAAAGACGAAACAATATATTTTCACTTTGATTTTTATAACAATGTGATATCATCATCAAATGCTACACCATTATATTCCTTTAATTGGGTCGATTTTGATTGGTTCACAGTACCCTTTGTATGTACTAATTCTCTTATTTTCATTGATTATTTTTTATTATAGAATCATTTTCCACCTTTTGTTTTATGGAAAGTAGTTTCTTGACTTTTATAAAAATACGAAACGCATTTCTATTATATCCTCAATACAACAAAATTAATTATAACAGTACAGGATAGTTACAATAATTCGATCCAAAATGTCCATGATGTATGCATTAATATATGTTTGAATTATTGAATAAATATTTAATTGAATATGTCTGCCATTCTGACTGCTGTTCTATTGAAGTGTCAAGGTTGTCGCGATATCTTTCATTCAGAAATCAATATATCTATAAAAACAACCAGTCAATAAGCTGGTATATTTTTCTATAGTCTAATTGTAGACGGAAAGAAAGATTCATAAAAAGATAAACGAATGTTATTAAGAGTATAGTCTTCATTATTTCTTACATTATATACATAACGTTCGCCTACCCAAGGAGGAAGGAGTTTATTATATGGTTGCCTCCTATGCTTCAATACCTTAGCAGGCCCCCAGCACCATTGACTTCTAAAAGGACGAAACACCTGTATGATGTAGTTTAATTCATTATTTGGTTATAACGTTCAGATGTATCTTTCGCACTGTTCACTTTTCAGCAATTCTTAGGATAGACTGAAATTCCATGTATGGACAACTTCGTGAAGGTCAATATGACGAGATTAAATTATAGAAAGTGTTGAGTATTTTCATCGCATCGTTATTAGTTGAAAAAAAAAGACATTCAGGGGTAAAGACACAGAGATTGCATTTGATTACAGTCATATTTATTTGTGAGGAATTTCTAATTTGTGGGATTAAATATTTTGTTGACTTTCTATATCTACTTCAAAAGTAAACGGATTCGGTCACATTTCATACAAAAGGTGATAGAACATGTGCAATAATTTTTGTTCATAGAGCGATTTTTCTGTTGTCATAGAAAATAAGATACTGCACAGCAAAGGTTGGTAATACGTCCACACTACTCCGAAAGAAAATCGATAATTGTTCCGAATCAGCACTGCTTTATCCCCATTCGTGTGCAGTATGTACATGTAGTATAGATGCGAGGATAAACCCGAGATAATGTCATGTTTTAGTCTTCTTGATTACGTTTGCTTTTTGGTCTGAATTTCTGAAGTTTAACAACCATTTTGCAAGAAATGAAGTGTTAAAGGATACAACTTTATCTTTTTCTGCATTTAACACATGGCAGAAATTAGATACAACTTTACTTACTCGATCCGTGAGTCGAATGACATGATTTAAGGCTAGGTGTTAGAGTTATTTAACAAATGGAAATCTCTATTGCATTGGAGATAATTATGGAATGTTTACGTCACCACTTTTCATTGACAGGTCAAACACAAAGCTATAAGGCAACAAATGGTAGGATGAAAACCCAATATCAATTTGTCTCGCAAAAAACACACGGTTAAGCAAACACATTTGAGATCCATCCGTCGCTTTGCTAATGCATTAATGAAAGTCTTCATTAATACGGCACCTACCGGCGTAATACAGCTTTTAAAAATAGTGTTTAACTGGTGGAACTATTTTAGTTATACATGGAATAATTGATTTCTTTACACGAGTTCATGCATTGATCAGTTAAATCCTTCCTCTGATTTGGTTCTAAAACAATTATGATTTGCAAGAATATTGATCACATTAAAGGAAGTTATATATATCATTTTGTGCTAGGTAATCCTGAGCACGCATGTTTACATGTATAACATACAAGCATACGTTTGTTTCCTACAGATAGACAGACAGAAAATCACATATGTTACGCTTTCAGCATCAGATATCACAGGACAGATATTTCATCTTTTCAACTTTTTACATTGTTCTTTTAGAGTAGCAACTTATCTTTGTAGGAAGCATTACGTCATAATTATATGAAAAATATTTTGAATTATTCATTTTTTTTATCATATATGCAATGTAATTATATATGTATGTACACGTACGAGGGGCTGTCAGTATTGAATAGGACTAGGTAATGATCTCATATACTGCTGACTGGTGAGGTTTATTCCTGACCGACCAATCAGAAACGCTGATGTGTTTCCCCGCACTACGTCACGTATTGACTGTCCTTATCAACTTGTAGATAAATACAGAGCAATATCACACACGGAAACCATAAAACCCCGTGTTTGCTGTCATTGCTGTAGGGGGATGATAGAGTTATGGCGTCAATCCGACATATTTATATATATAACAGTATAACACTAAAACTAATAATTGAAAACTGAGCGTTGATGTATGTCCATCTTGTATCCATATAATGAGTTTGATGAGAAGTTTGTGTTTTATTCACCTCTATGAAGCATTGTTATTATCAACGTGGATCTTTGCTCATAATTGTACGTAAACAGATATCGCTAATACTAGTTGTTCGCTCCATAATGACGTCATTTGTTTACTAATTAGGTCGATTTTACAGGATTTTGCATTTTTCCTACCTGAGTCTTTCAGACAGCATACATTGCTGTCAATAGGGATAAAATATGTGTCAGAGAGCCGCTTATATTTTTCTTACATGCAAAGCCCTTTCATGAGATGCACGAGAAAGTACAAGAAAAATGTATTTGCAAAAATATATCTTCAGATATACAAGTAATGTAATAGATTATTTATCGTCAGTGTTGATAACAGGCATGTAGTAAAACGTTGATATCAAATCTCTGCTGAAGTTTGGATACTTACTAATCAGGTATTTAGAGTTGAAAAGGCTCAAAATGGAACTCTGGAAAGGATGCTATGTCAGCAGCAAGATTAAGAATGTCTGGATAATAATGGCAGCCAACAGTGGTGATACCACACGAATAAGATGTAATTTAAGCAAATATACAAAAATACCTTGTAATTTTGATGTCCGATGTGATGAATTGAAACTTTGTCTTTTATCCGTGTAGATTAGTTTGCGGTTACATCCATTTTTTGCGGGTACTGCATGTGGTGCACTTCCTTTTCATTTAGTTTGGTTTGTTGTTTGGCTCTATTGCATCAATGGTACTTTTAAGTTGTGTGTATTTTGTACAATCCCTTACTTAATCCGGGTATCCTTTAATCATCTTATCAATTCTCCGTAAATTACTTCTTTTCGTTGTTTTTTGTCCTTGCGTAGACTATATGGCATTTCCATTCGGTGCTAGTGTTTCAGAAAACGGTATCAGCATCAGCATCCGATGAAAATAATCCTTCGCCACCTCGTCACACTACGTTCCACCTTATACACATACGACTGTAGTACAGTCGAAAAAATTCCTGTCGATTCATCATCATCTCGTACAACCTTCGTGCAAGTACGCTTCAAACTGGACATTTGCCTTGTGAAGGAGAAAGTGTAGTCATCGAAATTTACTGCTTGTGTTACAAGATTTTCTATTCTATGTCCATATACTTTGTGTGACAATTTTTTACATCTTATGGGATGACTTCTGCGTTTGATCTTTGTTTTAGCTAGCTAGCAAAATGATGAAATTCACTATCTTCCTTATGTCAGAAATTATGGTGGATGTTGTCGATGAACCAAGAAAACGCTTACTCTTTCGGAAGACATGGTCTTATTTTCCTTGTTTATTTTCAGTAGTCCCCGCGTAAATCTTCCTTTAGTTAATATTTTCCCTAGTTTTATTGAATTTGAGTTTGAATTATGATTATGTTGAGGATTGTATGTTAGGGGCTAAAATTGCTGACATTCAGAAGGAAGAGTTAGGACAGTAAAATTAGTCAAAACGCCAGAGTTTAGGCGGAGATATGTATTCAATCCATCATCATTCACCTTGGTAAATTTCGGATATTTGAGTTGAAAAAAGCCTGAATTACTTGTGTATGTTATGAAATATAATTACCAATTCTGAATTTGACATGCAGGTTGACGGTGAAAGAGTCACATGATACAATTATATAAGATTAGTTTCAAAATAATTTAAAAACGTGAAGGATACATGTGTTCTTTATCAGTACTGATCTTGAACTTAGCCTCAGACATATAGACAAATCCCTTGATTTTCGATGAGGAGCTTCTCGAAAACCCGCCGTCAAACGATGTGTAGCACAGAATGACATGCATGTTTCCTTGCTATATTTACTCTTTAAAGGATAGCTAGTGTTTTTGAAATCATTGATATGTCAGCAGTTTTTAGCTGATATCAACAAATGATATTCCTACTAGTATCATATTGGGGATAAAATATTCGCGAATTAGGCTACCCGACTTCAGAGTTCTCGAA